CATATAAAATTTAAGAAAGTTTAAAGAAAAAATTACATAGTAAAAATTTTAATACAAGAACTTTAAACTTTTATTATTCTGCACAAATAATTAAATTCAATATATTATGCTTATTTTTCTTATCGTTTCAACTTTACGCGACATTATTAATCTTTGTTAACCATGATTTTAATGTTGGGTCTCATGATTTGCTATGGCGTGGCTAACTGTGCCACCAACCTGGCACACATCAAGGTGCCTGCCATTTAAAGAATTTGCTTTATCTTCATCTATCTCGGAGTTTAATTCGTCATGTGAAATTTTGGATTAAACATAGAAACAGTAATTTTTAATCAAATCTATAATGTAATGTTTGTAATGTTTTTTAATTTGCTTGCATTTGTCCGCTCCCTCAGATAATATAAATCTGATTCATCAGCCGATGAAATGTTTGTAGCATAATTTTTGATCAAAGGTACATCTTCGCAGTTATTATCATTCAAGATCTTAAATGATAAGAATTTACTATGCATGATGAGATGAAAATGGAAAAATACTATCACCTTGTTTTCTAGAGTTTGTAATGTCTTTACATTTTTTGATAGGACTTTCTTCAGAATCATTATTCTAAAGGTATTAAAATGCCAAATAATTGATTTTATAGATTTCTTCTCAACTTATAGTAAAGAAAATGCTTACCTATGCACCTTCTTGATCTCTTTTTTAGATTTTTTCAATTCAGCATTAAATGTGTAACCATTATTCGTTCCAATTCCTAGAGAATTACCCTAAAATGTTGGATTGTGTAAGTGTATTGAGATTAATGATGGGTGACGCAACCACGTGATGCTAATTGTCACATGCTATTACTTATAAAAATCAATTGATTTTTATAAGTAATATCATGTGACAATTAGCATCACGTGGTTGCGTCACCATCATTAATTGAGATGCCAGCAGATTCTTTACTTTTTCATGATTGCTAGTCCTTTGCCAGCCAGCGATCTGGCTGAGCACCCTTTGAAAATTAGTACAACAGTATCCTAGACTAGCACCTTACAATCTATCTAACTTTTCATCCCACCAGATCGTCTTAGAGACTTGAACGTCCGACAATCTTAGAGATTGCCTGCGCTCCGATGGGGCTAATTGTCCAGAGCGTAGAGCATAGCGGAAGTTTGTTTTGATTGGCTGTTATTAGGATAAATATGATTGGCGACAATCTTTTTTTTATATAGTCAATTGTAATTTTTAAAGTACTTTTAATAGTAAAAATCGTCGTGTCTTATGAAACTTTTTTTTTGTAATACAAAAACGTAGCAACCAACTTGAGTCGTTGGTAGTTTACCTTTAAACTTATTGTTTTTTAACCTGAGATGCAATAAGATGCAATAGTTCCAAAAACTAGATGAGAGGTGAATATTTTGAAAGGTCGGAAGGTGGTCCGGCGGTCTAAACAATTGGTGAGTTGAAATTGAAAGATTCGCTTCAACTAGTTTGTTTGTGTTTTTTACGAGTAAAAGTATTATGTTGAACTATTATTCTAAACCATATTTTAATATTTTTTGATTATAATTTATTTGGATACAAGTATACTTTGTAAATATGACGTTTATAATACAATAAGTGATAGTAATAGTAGTGTTAGGAATGGTCGCATATGCGTTATTTAGTAGACATTTATATATATTTATTGTGAAAAAAATAACAAAACTCTTGTAAAATTCAAATTAAAGTTGTTAATACAAAACTGAATTAGTATATTGTAAATTTATAATATGTCTTTAGAGTGTATTGACCAATTTTTTAAAAGTTCGCAAGTTATAAAATTTTGTCCAGGATTATATCCGGAGTATGATCGATATTTTTTCTGGAGTATATTAATAACCAATCAAAACAAACTTCTGCTATGCTTATTTCTAAAATTTAGATATCAAATTTGTTGACCAAATTCGTGTTTCAATCAAATTTGTATATTTTGATCTATCATTGATAACTCGTGTTATAGTAATTCAATCTTGATAATTTTAATACCATCTGAATCCTCTTACTGTGAGGATTCAAATGGTATCAAAATTATCAAGATTAAATTACTATATCATGAGTTATCAATGATAAATCAAAATATACAAATTTGATTGAAACACGAATTTGGTCGACAAATTTGATAGCATCCAACTATATCACCAGTAGTATATCTAGGAAGATCTGATAAGTCATATAGCCCACTACTTTCTGAGCAAAAAAAATGCCTATCATCACTATAGTAAGAGAAGGGCTATTTATCAGCTGATATTTTGCTACTAAGTGGCTACCCCCCCTCCCTACCTGATCACAAATACTGCAATTTGATTGGCTAAAATTTTTTAAAAATTTAAAAAAATTTTAAACTTTAATATTAAATAAAGGACTTAATTAGATATCGCATGCTGCGATGTGCTTATACATCGCCTTTTAACAATTGACCAATTAAATTTGAAGA